TAATCTACATATTTGAAAATTTATAAAATATACGTACAAATTTAAAGTCCTCACAAATAATGTTTTTTATAATAAAATAATTAACATCATTAAAATATATAATTTCATTCAAATTTAAATTTCAAATATATAAAAAAATAATTTTGTATGTGTATTTTTTAGTTCTAATATAAACTGTTCATGATGTATTATACGATTAAACCTTTTATAAATATTTATTTACAACAAAATACTTGAATTTGACAAATTTTCATGTTTTTGGACGAATTTCCTAAAAATTATATCTATATCTATGTATTTTATATAGGTATAAGAAAAATTTATGTAAAATCTTGTATTAAATTTTTAAGAACTCTGACGCTGATTTTTTTTAATTGCCATTTTTAGAAATAAAAATACAAACTTTAAGTATCCATGCGACCATACAGTTATCTATCGTTTTTGAATAAGAACACTAAAGAAATTTATAGTTAATATTTATTATACGCATGATAATTGGTAAATATCCAACATAGTAAAAATTTGAACTTAAAATGCTCATAATTATTTATGTACAATTAGTATTTTATAAGTAGAAAACTAATAAGGAATTCTGTATTAAATTTTTAAATCTTAGGAAATAAAAGAAAACATTTTATAAATTACTAACTATAAAATATTATGTAAATTTTTGAGATTTTGACAATTTTAGTTAAAATTAACTAAAAAAAAAAATGTTACGACTATATATTTTAGATTTATTTTCTTGGTAAATGAACTACTTATTAGCAATATTGTTGTAAATTTTCAAGCATCTTAATCTATCTAGAAATTTTTTATTGGTATTAATGAAATTCAACTGAAAATTGCAAATGATGATAAACATTAAACAGCTTGAAAAGATTTAAAATTGTATCATATATATATAAAATAATAATTTAAAAATTTGTTGAACATTTCAAGTTTTTATAGTTGTTCGTTTTTGAATTAAAACAAAATAAAGAAATCAATTTTTGTCAAAATTTTGTTTAGAATTTTAAAAATTTCCTTTACTTTTTTTCCTAATTGTTAAAAAATATTCTGGCAAATTTTCACTTTTGATCCTCTGAAATACTAACTAGATCTAATTTTATGCCAGAATCCCATTCAAAGTTGAAAATTAAAACATTTTTATTGACCCAAAAGGTGATGATAGACAGAAAAAAAAACTACATAGGTAACTGTAAAATCAATACATTGCGATCCTAAAAGAAGTAAATTTTAATTGCATTAAAAGTTTTGAAAAATAATAAAAAAATTAAATTACTTAAAACATTAAAAATTAAATGATACTGCAGGTAAATCAATAAACTTTTTTTTTTGTAATTCGAGTGATGATTATATACCTAACGGACACCTCTAAATAGTGGATACCTCCAAATAACGAACATTTTTATGTGTAAGGGGACATTTTCACTACTTTTATTCAGGAAAACCCCTAAATACCGGATACTTAAATAACGAACACTTTTATGGTAATTTAATTTTGATTTTGATAATTTTTATCGTTAATATAGAATATTTGTGAAATGCCAATTTAATCTAATCTTACAACTATATATATATATATATATTATAAATTATTATACAATTATGGTATATCTTATCCGTTCATTATCGCGTCGAAGAAATCATTTTTTTATGTTATGTTCTGTGAAGTTATCTTATACTCATACTTAGTTGTGTTGGTGTCGTTGGTGATTCCATCGCATTTGAACGTGTTAGGCTGGGTTACTATGCATAAAGGTCTTAACCAAGCTAAAGTAACTGATTTTTTCAATAAATGTTAATTTTTATTTTAAAATTATTTTGAACACATTTTCACTTATTTTTTCATACACAGTAGATAATAATGTACATATCACAATTTAAAATAGTTATATGCACAATTAGTATTTGCGTTAAAATAATATAAATGTATAATGTATTCAAATATCATTATTATAAATATTATATGTATACATGTAAATAATAAAAGTTGTACATATTGTGTAATTATTAATTTCTCCGAGGTATTTTCAAGAATTTACTCCTCTCTCCTCTAAATAGCGGACACCTTTAAATAATGGATAAAATTACAGCGACCAAGAGTGCCTGGTATTTAGAGGTTTCACTGTAGTATAATTTAGCTAATTTTAAATTAATTACCCAGAGTGTTGTAGTTCAAATTGATTTGTTCCTCAAAAACGTACTCAGTACAAGGTCATCCTGCTGAAATAATTAGTGTTACCTGGAATTGTGATCACGTTGTATTTCAGATTCTGAGCTAAGTAATAAATGTATTGATTTTATCAAGATGAATTTTTTTTATTGTGAGTACTCGATAAGTATTAAATTGCTTCAAATTTTCAAAAAAGATGGTGGTTTTGGATATAAAATTGAGTCTAGTTTGCATATTTTAAAGAGTTCAAATTTAAAAATTCTCAGTATTTATTTGTATATCCAGGAAAAACAAAACAGAATTTTTATTTACTTCCCTAGTTGCGTGGAGAATTCAATAAAGAAAACTAAGAAACTTTAGACTTTTAGAAAACTAGAGGCGAAAAAAATATATCGATAATTCGCCCACCACTATAGTTTATAGACGTAAAAAATGGTGGTGGTCGGGGGTATAATTAAAATAAATTGATATACGTAATTAATGCATAATAGTGTAATATAACTAATTAATAATTATAATACGGATTAGAATTGACAAACCTAGGGGGGTGCAAGAGGTGCGTACCTATGCACTGGGCGCCAAAACCTTATTATAATCTAAGTAATATTACTGATAGATGAATGTTAACCATATTAATTCATATTTTTTATTGGTTTCAATATAATAATATCATCCTAATTCGCGGTGTCGATTCATTATTTTGACAATTTGACTGACGATGAAATAACGTTTTAAAATGTATTGTAGACAATTATGTAAAAATACCTATTCACATGAATCGATATAATTGGTTTTTATTTTTATCTCGAAATAACGACGTCGTTGATCGTCAATAACAATAATATATTATAAATATATGTATACTGCATTATTATATAATAATAATGTATAATAATATTATATTAATATTATATATAATAATATTTCCCATTATTATTTACTATTGTTATTTTATATAATTAATAATTTAATAACAGAATTTTGACTGGAACAAGTTTTACGATCTTATTTTGAACCCATCTATGATAATGTTCACATCACTCATTCTAGAAGTAGGTACAAAATTACTTTTTTTTAGCATTTATTTGAAGATAAGTTATTTTTTTATGCAATCGAACAAATTTGATTCGTAAATAAATGATACCGGTTTAGTATGATAGGTACCTATCTATCAATATATTTTATTCTATGTAAACAGTTTAAATATTATATTACTAATCTATAAGTTAGAAATGTGCAAAAAAAGGTAAATCTAACCAATTTCTCTCCTCTATTCTTATTTTATTTCTTTATAGGGATAAACATACATGTTAGAGGGGTTAAGGTCACTATAAATAATTTTTGGCACCGGGTACTAATAATGCTAGGCACGGCACTGAGTATCACATTACATAACAATCAAGAAATTTATTGATCACTATCCATCCCCCTATATTTAAAAAAAATCTCAGGATAATTTAATTTGTATTTGAAATCATAGTCATCATGCCACTGTTCGTTTATAGTTTTTACTTCTGTAGTTCTATTCTTTACTTCTATACTATAATCTTAATTGTGGAATAAAAATCCCAAATATATAAATTTATATACTTACTTAAAGATAATTAGGATCTGGATTTAAATGTTTTTAAGTTATCAAAAAATACTCTAAAAAATAACTAAAAATGCTAATCCAACTTAATAATATGTCCTTAAACAATAACTTATATTTTTTTTTATACACATGTATGGATGTATGTGAAAAGAAAACGAAGACTTAACTTTTGGCATTTTTAATATTTATTTATCTTAATTCTTACCTAAACTATCAAAATATTTATGTAAACAAAATACTGAACTTACATAGGCACACACAATATTTGCATTACTTCCTTAATTGATATAGGTATTGGCGTACTGGAGTATGAAGATTTTTCCCCTAGTATAAAAAAAACGTATTTTCTGTGGATTTTTTTTCAAGTGTTTTTTTCTAACTATCCTAATCCTATATACTTAATCCATAAAAAATACAAATACAGTATACCTATAACTGAATTTACATTAAATAGGGATCAGAATTTAATAATCATAATATGTACATATAAGTACATACCGTCATTAATTAACCGTTTAGCCTTTAAAGGAAAAACCTTGAAATATCAAAAGAACAGCTATAATTTAAAATTTATAAACGTTTTATTAGACGATTTTAGGCCGAAGGCCTCGTGTCGTATTTAACATTGAACCGTTAAAAATTGAAGCGACTTATAAGCTACATATATCTAAAGGTGCATTGTACGATCGTTAATTATATATAGATTTTATTATCTATGAATTGTGATGATGACTATGCCCGGCGGTATTATCACAGAAATACAATATAATATTATTAAGTGATTAGCATGTTTTGTTATGGCATTTATTTTGATGTTTATTGCTTGTAGATATATTGTTATCACTTATCAGTCATTGGTCCGCGGCACGGCTATAGGTACTATAAATTATAATATCTATAACTGTTGTCCGTAGTCGATATTTTGACATTCGATTGTGAAATATTTGAATGTGGGAGCATTCAGAGCATTGGGAGCTGGAATTCTCATTGTACTGTTTTATATTTATACAGTTAATAGTTTATGAATAAGGTGACGTGGGACTGTTATTATTGAGTGCGGAGTGCGTATGATTGAGCGCGTCGTAACGCACGCAAAACAACATTCACACGGCGTCGGAGTGACATTGTAACATCGATTATTACTTATTTAGTTATTCCTACCTATTGATAATATGTACTATTGTGTGTTGACTGCGTAGAATATGGAGATGGGTAGGTTGCAAGTTGCAACACGTCAGTGTTGTAGAGTGCTGTGTTGGCTATAGACTCGTGCAGTCGTGCAGTTGTACAGGTACTTTGTAGTTGGCAGTTGGCACTCGGCAGTGAGCGGTCTATGGTTGTAGGAGTGTTACGTGTACCTCAGTAACGATATTTTTCCAATAGAAGTCAAACCTTATATTTACAAATAAAGTTATAAATTTATTATTAAAAAAAAAATAACAATAATAATGTCGAACAATAAAGATCCGGCTGATAACCAACTCGAAGATTTTAAAAAATCTGTTAAGGTAATTAATTGTTATATGATTATATCTGATACTTATTTAATCGTTTATTATTATTGAACCAAGTAACAATTTATTATTTATTTATTTTTTTTTGTTATACCTGTAAGCCTAAAACAATTAAAATATAGATGTATTTTACTTTTATCATGTTGTTTAGTATATTTAAGTACCTAAGGAGGTTTAAAAAAATTTGAAAAATTTAAATATCAATCTACGGACTACAACTTGCACATACATATGAAATAATACTTATAGGAAATACAGAAGACCAATAGTTTTAACACTGACAAAATTGTAGTGCATTTAATATACTTCCTTAATTAGGTAGTTTAATGGACAGCATCTAGCGCCATCCACAGTAAACGTGTTAATTGTATTTTTAAATTTTAAATAATTATCATGGAGTTAATCTCTGAATTTATTTATTAGTACATAGAATAAAATGTTTTTTGATATATTATTAATTTGTAATTACACTGACAAGTATACAATATTGTTTAGTGAATTATTTAGATTATTTTTTCATTCAAATATTTATGTATGATTTAAAACCACAAGATCTAAAAGATTTAAAGGTATAATGCACACTTTTCAATGATTTAGTTAAATTTTATAAATAATATGATAATAAGTTATTATTTTATTATCATTAATAATTGTTTTCACAGATCATTTTTTTTAAAACTGTTTTTTTTTGTAAGTTTTAAAGTTATAAAATTATTATTATAAATTGAAATTATAATTTATTTTGATAATTTTATGTTTTGAGATAGATGTCTAAATAATTTCCGAATATGATGTAATTATTTAAGTTTATTTGTATTAATATTTTTAAAAACAATTGTTATAATATATAACTTATCATAGATTTGAACAATTGAATGCAACAATTGCCATATAAGTGTTATAATTTATTATAAAATCTATGATTATTTTTTTTATGTTTGACACTTGATATCAAAAATTAACAAATTAATATGTTGGTTAAAAAGCTGTAATTCATGGCCATAAATATTAAAATTTTATATTTTAATTGCTAGTTTTTAATACCAGAAGACGTTTACACTAAAATAAAGAAAATATACTTAATACTATTAATGTTTATATTAATATATAAAAAATGCATGTTAAGTTATAAATAAAAACCAGATTTAATTGCACTAAAAATATGTCAAAATTGCAATGAGAATAATACAATAATTGCATAATAAAATCATATAATTGCTTTAAAATTTATCTTAAAATATTACAAAATGTATAATTATTATTTATTTTCTTACAAACATGATTAGACTTATAAATCAATAATAATAATGTCTAAAACTTTAAAATATTTTATTTATAATATAAAGCGATTCATCAAGTTTACTCGTATTCCTTTTTTATCTTTAAATAATGTATTTAAAATTTAAATTCTAATTTTTGGAATTTTTTAGTAAAAAAAAAACTTATTAGACTTAAATTTGGCCTTATTCTACATAAAAATTAAATTAGCAGAATTAATAATTTCAATTTTTTAGTCTAAAAATGGTAAATTCATTTTGGAAGTATTTATGTAAATACTGCTATATATTAATATAAATATTCAGGAAAAATGTCAAGTGTCAGGGTTCAATACTACCTCAAATTATATAAAAACAGTTTTGTAAAGAACAAAGAGTAAAAAAGTTCCAAGAGTCAAGATAGACGATATATCAAGATTCTTACTATTTTTAGTTCTGCTTATGAATTATGAATAAGTACAATTACGAGACTGTTAATTACTATTTTAATGTACTTTATAACTACTTTGTACATATACGGTTAATAATCATTTTTCATATTGTTACTTGTTTGTTGTTATTATTTAATTTGCATACAATAATTACCTAGGTACTAAATAGGTTACTACCTATGCATTAAAATATTGACAAGCATATGAAGTATGATGCTATTCATACACAATTCACTTAGGTCATATTTTTAGCACCTAAGTATTTCCTATATAGCTATATATACTGAAAATATGTTATAAATATCTGTAGACAATAGGTAAAGTATATCAAAATTAAATTTGTGTGTCAGAAAGTTAAATTTTGCTATTCATGTACTTCTTTTATTTAAGTTGTTTTTATAATATTTTTATGACACAAAACAAATTTTATTTTTAATATTTAATGGTCTAGTACAGGGGTCGGCAACCCGCGGCCTGCAAAGCAATTTTTGATGGCCTGCACAAAGGTGGTTAATTTTTGTGTTTTACTTTTGTTAAATAACATTTTTCATATAATTTTCAATATTATATAATTATTTTTCCTTTATAAATAGAATATATCTAACCGTTTCATAATAGCAATACAATTATAAGTATTATATCATAATATGTAATTTTTTTTTTTAATGTGGCCCTTGATGAACAATTGAAAAAAAAAATGGCCCGTGTGGTTAAAAAGGTTGCCGACCCCTGGTCTAGTAGGTAGACTTGTCATGAAGATAAATTTTTGAATCTATTTACATATAATATTAATTACTATTAGTATTTACACATTATAAATATTTTAATCCTAAAAAAAGTAATTGTTTAAAAAACCAGACTTGATACATTTTATCCTAGTCTATGGTTTTAAGCTACCTAGGTTATATTGTTTTAATTTCTCAAATAGCCATAACAATTTACATTTGTTAAAAAAAAAATATTACTATTTAAACTTGTTTTAAGTTAAATAATTTTACTCTTCTTATTTTATCATTAATAGTCATTAAAGAACATGAATATTAAAATATTTCTACTCCCACTGTCCTATTTTAAAACCAGACTAAATCAATGACTTAATGACCTTTTCAATGTTGTTTAGTTTTTTACTGTTTGTATGTATTAGTTCTCACATTAAATGTTAATGAATAATGAATATAACTGATATATATATATATTAACCTTGGAAACGCCTATATTATATTTCTTTCAAACAAGTAATTAAAACTAAAAATTAAAAAGTTATTCGTCTTACTTAAAATATTATTAATCATAATAATAATAAAATTTCTTGTAAAAACGAACCGATTTTATTTGTGTACAACTATATACTTGTAGTTATTTTTAATTGTTTAAATACTGATTTGATTTATTTTGAGTAATATTGATTAATGATTACTTTTGACTAATAATACGTCAGAAATCAACCTTGATTTTTTAAAATTATTGTTAAAGTAAAAGTATTTCTAGTAAATCCAGTTTAAGTAGATACTTGACCTATAGCTTTAGGACTTAAAAGAGTCGGGACATACATGTCTCACGCCCGATATGATTTAGATTTTTCAAAATGTTTAAAACTACAAGTTGGCATTGTATAAAAATAATACAAAAAAATATATTTTATTACAATTGAAATTGAAATATCGTATTTTATAATGATTTTATATTTTTATATTTTTCATTTTTATTAATTTAGGGATCGAATTTATATGCAAATGCATGTAATATGTATTGGAATAAGTTTTTTGAAATCTGATGAGATTTGTTTTTGATTAAATCATTTTTATAAAAATAACACTAATTGTATTTTGCATATTTCAATAGTTTTAACCTATTAATGCATATTTTTAGTTTGATAGTGCGTATTAATGTTTAATATTTATAGATGATTGCACATATATTTGTTTTTCGTCTTATTTTCCTGTTTACAGCCACATAATATCTATAAAATCACTACTTACTGGTCGTTATTGCCTAATTCTTTGCAACATAAATATTATATTAGTATTGATCGATTTTTGTTTTCACTTTTTATTAATATAGGCTAATATTTTATTGATTGAAAACAAAGAATGTTAAATGGCAAAGATAACAAAATACTTTTTTTTATATATTTAAAACCTTTTTTAATACTTAATTAATACTTATTTTTTACATAATTTTAAATAAAATATTTTTGATTCAATTTTTAGTGCATATAAATCTGGTCTCTAAGTCTATTACTATTTTTGTAGTTATATACTTCAATTAAAATAAATGTATGAAAATTGTATAATAATAAATTACTTGAATAAATACGTTATATTAGGAAAATGAAAAATAAATTTCAAAATATTATAACATACATACCTAGTTTATTTTAATTAGGAATATTTAATTGTATAAATATTAAATATATATTGTTGAATATTAAATAATGTTTATACTCAACATAACTTAAAGTAATTTAAATCTATTACTGATTTTTCGAGAATGATTGGTTTGACTATTGGTTATTACTTATTAAGTATTTATATTTATAAGTTATAAGACCAATAATTATTCAACTCATTGATTATTTAAGTATTTCCTATCCAGTCATTATAAAAATAACTATTAATTATAATTTATTATATATATTTAATTTAATTAATAATATAGTAATATAAGTTAGGTACGGATACTCGAATATAAACAATGGTATAAAAAAGTTATTGACGTTATTGTAAATTATTTATAGATTATCTATTTAGTTAATTGTGTGTGAATGCATATTATTGTTTTGTAAATGATAATTAATGCGAGTGAAAACTTTTAAGTTAGAGTACCTATTAAAAAAAAAAAATTCTTAATTGTTTTACTCAATGCACAACAAACTATAAACATTACTATATGTATTACTAATTCTTTATTTAATTGATTTATATTTGGGATGAGACTTTTATGTAACTACCATTTGAAGTTTAAATTTTACGTAAATTTATATATAAATTATAAATATGTTATTAGTAAAAAAAGTCGTCTAAATTATAAAATATTTTTAATTATTTTTTAGTAAAAATTTAAATTTCAAAAATTATAACTTGAAAATTGAATACAAGGATTATCGGTTTTTTTGTATGGTGTATCTTAACTTAAATAAAAGACATTCTAAGTTCATATTTTAACGAAATTGAAAATTAAAATAAAATATATTAATTTTTTTTTGTGTAGGCTGTAATTAAAAAAATATCATTTTCAAAGACTTAAACAAACTTAATTCTTAAATGACTTAGTAATTTCTACATAT